CAGCGTCTCTGGGCGCGAGGGGTGTAGAAAGCAAATAAAATATGATGGACAAAAAACCCAGAATACTCAAGATCAATGGGACTCTAAGGAATCGTCCTGTCATGGTTCCCCCCCAGCCTTCAACAATTCATTATATTTGAGATTTCAGGAATGCATCACACAGAACCGATTACACAAACCACACAGAACTTAATATATATCACCCCTCCCTTTCCCTTTGCCCTCAGCATATTCCCTTACTACTAAGGGAAGGTAGTAACCTATTGGGAGGTTACTACCTAACCTCCCAATAGTTAGGTCTTCTTAGAGAAGACCTAACTATTGGGAGGAATCCCTAACACTTTTTTAAGGTAGGATTCTGGCTAGTCCAAAAGGGTTCCTTCTTTTAAGGGTTTCAGGAAACTAGACACTGCAACTTTATTAGTATCGATGACCTCTGGAGCAAATTCAGCTCCAGAAGCTGCACATCTGAAAGCAGGAGGGGTTCCACCAATTGCCCCAATTCCTTCCATCGTAGCAACCTGGTTGGTGGCATCAATCTCAAGGTTCTATTGGGCATCATAGTGGCAGGTCCTGGAGGAGCTGGGGTACCAAGTAGAACCGGAGCAGAGGGCATGGTGCCTCTGTTATTTATGCCCATAGCACCTCTCATAGCCATGAGGCCTATCTGTATCCTTGTTCTCATGCATCAGGGAAGGTTCCCTTGAATCCTTCCTGCTGTTGCCGTATCATCTCTTCTTCTTGTCACCGCATCATCTCTTCTTGTTGCTGCTGCACTTTTTCTCAGTGCCTACCCTCCTCTTCCTGCCTAAGCTCCAGTTACTTTCGTTTTTGGACCTCTTGGTTATGCAGCTCTTCCATTCTCCAGTTTTTCTTGGCATCTCATCAGATCCTGCCTCATCAACATAACCTGGGGCTCGTGGCTAGCAGCCTCCATCTCCATCTCCAGCTTCTCACGGGCTTCCTTGATGTTGTGGTCCACTTGATCCTGCTGCTGCTTCTCCATCTCACTAAGTGCCTTCCAGTGAATGGCATATTCATATTCAAAGGAGCCAGGCTGTACAAATTGAAGTAGCTGCTCTTGCTCCTTGTAAAACTGCTGGTTCTTTATCACAAGTTTTTCTGGAAGTCCTTCTTCATCATCTAACTGGTCCATACGGTCCACAGTCACAGGCCGAGGAAATGTGGTTAGTAGGAAAGATCCTTCACTGTATCTGTCCAGAGCTTTCTATGCAGCTGGCTTCCCTGAGAACTCAACAATGCCATTTCCTGAGGGTCTTCCTCGATCATCCACAATGACTACAATCCTTTCCACCTGGCCAAAGACAAAAAAGACTACTTCTAGTAGTTCGTTGGACACATACTTAGGAAGATTTCCGGCTGTAAGGGATGCACTATGGCAGGCAAAGTGCACACGTGGTTGTTTTCAACAGAGAGGCATAATTATCCAGCTCTACTCTGCAAGAGTTTGTGTTTCCAAGTGGAGCCTTTATCCATATGAACGAAAACTTCTCCTGCTTTCCCATATTTCTCATAGTTTCCTCATTTCCTTCTCAGTGATATCAGGGGGAAGATTGCCCATGAAGAGGTGGCTACGATGGGTAAATGTTTCCTCTCCTGGTTTCCTAAAATTCTTCAGGTCAAAAGCCAACCTTCATTTTGGCTACTGGCCTGTTGCCCATTTGCAGGTATTGGTGGTGGCGGCGGCTGCTGCTGTTACTGCTGGTGGTGATGCTGATGATGCTTCCTTAGAGTATGGTTCTGCTTCTTCAAGTTAAAGATCTCACTGCTCTGCATTTTTATACCCTCAACTTGATTGAAGACAGCAAAGTGCCTCCAGTCCTAACTTCAACTTGACCAATACCAACAGTCCTCTCCACAGAGTAACAGTGACACTCCCCACTCTGCATTTTTATTGGCCACTGAAACTTATATACTCTACTTCATCTCCTTTGCCACTTTCCTACTGAAAAGCTTCATTATAAATTAGCTTCATTATAAATACTACCCATACAACCATATTATTCAATAGTCACTACATATTTCCACTTGAAGTATGGTTAGTCCAAACTGAGATGTGCTGTAAGTATAAAATACATACTGGATTTTATATTTTGTAGGCTTAATACAAAAAGGAATAGCTCAATAATTTTTTTAATGGTTGTATGTTGAAATATTTTTCATATATTGGGTAAAACATTACAATTAGTTTAATTTACTTTTACTTATTTTTCCCCCAGTACTAGGGATTGAACCTGGG